GTGAAGGATTATCATATACAAGGACAAAATATAGATCTTCCATATAGTCAGTTTTTTTATATTGTTTGACAATTTCAGAATTCTGAGACATGATGTATGTAATAGGTTATTGTGGGAGGAGAATTAGAATGTATGTGGTAGGAAAGGGGAATAAATGCATGATTTCTGTATTAGTAGTAACACCTGCCATCCAAGCCTCTACAGTGTATTTACTTTTAGACTAACAGTTTTAGAAAGTATCCTATAGTTCCAGAGGTAACTGCTTTTTGTTTTGTTTTGTTATTTGGAAGTCCTATAAAATTTGAGTAAGTTGTAACTTTAAAAATAAAACTTCTTATTCTTTTTCACCATGTTGTGCCACTAATTGCTCCATTAGAGATTATGTATCTCAATTCTTGATCCACAATTTAGAAGTTGTTGGATCAGAATTCGAGATGAGGAAATTATACCAGCGTACAACTCCTATAGTATTAGAAGGCACTTCATAGGGGAAATTGGTGATCAACAGTTGTCCAGCACCCCAGTACGGGATAGTTTTAGATCTATTTTAATCTCCTTAATAAGTCCTATAGCTATGCAAGTGAGTGCATTTTGATAACTGCTGTGCCTAATTTGTAACAATTACTGTCAACCTTCAGTTAAGAGACTGTTCATTCCACACTGGCCCAGAAAAGAGTGAACTGTATGACTCGTGTGCATAATTTTATTCACATCATATTTCATACTGATTATGTATTGATGACATTGATTCATTTACTCTTTACAGCGCCACTTGCATGGATATTAAATCTTATTGACCACAGATGAATTTTAATTTCAGATTGGTGATAGATTTTTCCATCAGCTCTGATAGTATGTTTGACTTTTTCATCATTAACCCAGGCAATCACATAGCACTGAGTTATTGCATTGAAACAAAAAGTGCACACTTCACTTGGTAATTCTTTATGGATTTACAATAGGAACTTCATTACTGTCTGTTGTAAGGATCACAAAAAACCCCCCAACATTTATCTGCAAATAGGAATTTTGCAAGCTTCAAAAGTCTCACGAAAAAATATTAGACTGCTTTGTCTTCTGTAATGCATTTTCTTAATGCATTGTCAGGGGAAATGACAAATATTTGAAAATTTTTAACATACAAAATTATACTGCCATATTCTAATGCTTATATTTATCATTTTTCCTGACTTAAGCTTATGGGTTAATTTTAAATATATTTTCCTCTTTTTTTTTTTTTTTAAAGAAAATATATGCACCTTTATTTAATCCACCTACTTGGAAAATGACCTCAAATACAATGTGCACATATAAAAGTCCAATTTTTATTGCCTGTTAACCACCTGATATTATTGATCCTTTTTTACTTCTTTAGAGATATTGATAACTTAGAAATACATAGCAGATTTTTCTGGTTTGGCTTATAATGCAGTAAATCTGTGGAGCAGAGTTGGGAGCAGTGAATAGTTAGCATAAATATTTTGAGATACTCATTTGAAAATAGAAGCAAGATTGTCAGTGGTGATACTTGGAAATAAAAAGTTTAGATGGGCTATGAATAAAAAGCTTGATTTCTTCCTCACCCTTCCCGGCATTGTAAAAATATAATTTTTCCTCCCAAGTCACATCTTAAGGTTGTTGCTGGTTTGATACCATTTCTTTCCCTGATTTAATAAAGTATAAAGTGATTGTTACTGCCTACCATTGTAGAGGATGAGAGGTCGAGGTTGTAGAGCACAAATGGAGAGTTGGGGACCAGGTTGTGACACTGAAGACACAGGCAGTGGCCATGTCAGCTAGGGAGGAAGTGCATAAGGCATCTCAGAAATAAGAGGTGGGTCTTGGTACCATCTTACTAAATACACGATAATCTAAAATTTGAAGCATTAGGGAGGGAGACTGAGGAACATAGCGTTTATGTGATCACACGATTATGTACACAGTGCCTTTTTAGACAAATCTGCTTTTCAGAATGGGAGCTGTAGTGTTCATTTTGGAATGCTATATATAAAAATACATGTTTTAGGCAGTAAGTCAGGGCCTCCTTGTATATATTTTCATAATGTTAGAAGCCAGAAAAGAGACAGGTGGCTTTTGAAAATTAATAGCTCTTAAAAGGCATCAGGAAATATAACTTAAGGATATGTTCTTGTCAGACCTAGCTGAGAAATGTGTTTTTGGGGTGATCTTAATTAAGAACATCTCCCTGTCGGCATAAAACATCTCACATTTTTGTCCTGGGTGCTCAGCTCACCATGAACATAGTCATAGTCACAATGTAGTTTTTGTAAATAAAGGTTTGGACAAGCTGAATGTGATCCGGAGAGATATTAATGAGAGGGCAAGGGGGAAGAGTTAATGAAAACACACTTCCTTGTGGAACATAAACTGCTTTTTGGAGCTGGAGAATGCTCTAAAATTATTTTCTCAAAACCCTCTGGCATTTCTTTGCTGGAGAAGATGCAATGCGGAAAAATGACAGATCGCTCCATTTTATTATTTTCATCTTACTTGTCCATATTTTTGGTAGGGGAAATTAGACATTTAGTTTGACCATTTTCCTTTTGTGCACAGAACCAGTTAAATTTCTTGCACAAAATACATGTTACATACAGCCAAGTGTCCTCTGGCCCAAATGTAATGCGTTGATTATTTGTGCATCCCCTCTTTAAAGAGAGCTAATTGTATGGGAAGTAATGGGACCCTGTTGCCTACTCTCCTAACCTTCCATCCTGCTGAATGTGTTGCCAGTGTTTGGGGTGTGTAGTTTAATAGTTGTTCTGCCTCATTGGCTTTTGTATGTTCTGAGAAAAATAACTTTAATCTTTTAAATCACGTAGTCTCTCTTGCCTGAGATCTTGGACCACTGGTGTTCAAGAATCTACAAAATCTTATAGCCTGAATCATATAACGAAAGCCTGGCCATCCTCAGGAGAACATTACCTTCTCCAGAGTTACGTGCCAGCAATTGCTGTGCAGTGTTTTTTGGTAGATTTTTGTCTGCTATGTAGTTTTCTCCCATTCAAAAATGTACAAGTACCATGTAGAATTATCAGAGCTTTTTCAGTAAAATAAACACAAGATGAAATGCCTTCAGTTGAAGGAAATGTTAGGGAGGGTTCTAGTTTACGAAACACTGCAGTTCCTCTCGGTATTACATAATTGGTGTTGTGTGTGTCCATCGTAGAGGACATTTGATGCTCATTTATTAAATATGCTTGCTGGCTGCTGCCGTATCTTTGTTCTGGACAGACAAATTACCTTTCTCACACTGAGCTTCCACTCTGGGGAATTAAGCCTCCACTACTTTAATTAGCTTGGAAGTGGGGGGTGGCAGTTCCTAATAGACTTCAGGCTTTTAGTAAGTTAGGGAAAGGGTGAAAAGAGAACTTCCTGGGAGGCTCAAAATGTCATTTAAAAACCATAAAAACCTAATATATATATATATATATATATATATATATATGATTTCATTTCAGTAATGGCAAACAGCTTGTATTTGACGACTGTATGGATTATCATTTCTAACTTAGATGTTAAATTTAGACTTCTGTTGAATGTGCTTGATCACGTCAGCAACCATTACATGTGTTGTATAATTGCAGTACTTATGTAACGTTAAGTGACATAGTGGAATAAGCATATTAAGCCAAGAATTAGGTCTGATAATCAGGGAAAGTGATTATTTATTTGCACGTAGAGTCTTTCAGAGATAAATGCCTTTAGGTAAAGAAAGACCCAGATAAGTAGATACTAAAGTAGAAATATTAGAAGTCATAATAATGCTATTAGTATTTTTTAGGCATTTATTATGTGCCAGGAACTATTGTAAGTACTCGGTGTTTGGGTGTTTGTGTTATGGTAGTTTATAAATTTTACTGCCTCCACTTCAAAGATGAGAAAACTGAGGCACGAGGCAGTTTGAGTAGCTTACCAAGAGGTCACACAGTTGAATGTATTAATCCAAAGCATTCCTGGGGTTGGGAGGAGGGATGTCTTGGTTATGAATGTGCCTTTTCAAAAAGCCCTAGATAACACTACCAGGCCAGACCTTATATTATAATTCATTCCTTTCGGCAAGAAACTTGCTTTTAACAGAGTAAAGCAATTCGTTGTTGTGGAACTTCATACTAGAAACTTTTTCTCGAAGTCCATTTATTGTCTTATTTTCTCTGCTGGTAAAACTGCATAAAATGTTATGCTTTAGTTCTTCACTCCCAGGGTAGGTAACATAGAAAGTCTCCATCAAGTCACAGTTGGGAAGTAATCTAATAAAAGAAGATTAGTGAATGCAGAAAAGACAAAAACAATCATGTTTGAGTTTAATATCTCTCAAAATTAGCATTTCAGCTAAGATGCCCATTTTTATTTCTTGCAGGTCTGCTAAAAGGTCAGAGTAATGCAGAATGCGTGCCTTCATCTCAGATTTTGTTCATCACAGGTGGATCCCATGTGTCTTCAGTAGACAAGTCACCTTTGTAGCTAGCACCAGTGCCAGCTCCATGCCATTGCACCTTCTTTAGTCTTGATTGCCCTTCCCGCATTTATTGGTGTATTAAAATGACTGAATATGAACATTAAGGACTCCATGAACCTGGGCTAATGGGAGACTGTAGAGAAAATGAAAAAAGATCCACCAGAGGACATCTTTGGGGGGAGGGAGCTTGGGGGGAGGGAAAATGACTAATGAAGCTAATTAAAAGAAGCATTCAAATCTGCTTTCTACCCTCATTAACAATTAGCAGGGCACTGGCCAGAGTTTGTACCCTGTGTTTTACCTTAACAACATTCTATTTGCTCTTTGTATATTTAAGTGTTGTAAGGAAATGTGTTTCAATCAAAACTGAACATGAGATAAAGGAAAGAGATGTTTTGTGATATTCTATCACAAACACTTTTATTGTATCTCTGTAAAATACAATGTATGTATGCATGTAAGTGTTTTTGTCCTAATGTTGCTACTCCCATGGCAGATAAAAAAAGGAAGAAAAAAAAAACAAAACACCAACAAAACAAAAAAACAAAAAAATATTGGAGAAAAACCCCAGGCTCATAGCAGCTACTGTGTAGAAATCTCCCCCTCCTTCTAATTTGCTGAATGAAGAAAAAAAAAAAATCTTTTATTTGTGATATTTTCAGAGACATTTGCTCTAGTATGGTGTATTTAAATAATAAAAACTTAAAAGAAAAAATACTCAATGAAGTTTGGGTTTAAACACTGCTTCTTTTCCTTCTGTTATTTTGGGGCAGAAATTGTTTTTTTTGTTCTGATAACAGTCTCACTTTAAATTATAAGAGTCATAAGGAGGTGATGTGTTTATTTATTAAACTTCAGGCCAGTAAGGTATTCTTCAAATAATTTAAAACTCCATTGATGTTAAGTTGATCACAGTTGATAGCACTGTTTTTTGGACAGAGTAGAACTAACTGCCCTGTGGTGGTAGAGGTGGTGATTGTGTGCCGTCAAGTCACCTGAGACCCATAAAGACCCTACTGTACAACAGCTCTGAAGCCTGACCTGTCTTGAGCCAGTCTCACTGACTCCGACACACCTACCTCTATTGCCCCGATTACTGTATCAATCCATCTCATCCGGGATCTTCCTCTTCTGTTTCTCCACCCTTCCGGGCATGATGGCCAGGCCATGTGCCCAAAGTTTGTGAGACGGATGGATCTTCAGAATCCTAGTCTCCAAGGAGAAACTTGGTTTCGCCCTCTCCAAGACAGACCTATTTTCTTGGTGGTAGGGATTCCAAATCGTAAATCTTTACAGAAGCAGACTGCCGTACCTTTCTACCACAAAGTAGCAGGTGAGTTTGAATTACCAACCATTTGTTTGACAGTCTGGTGTTTCAACCACTGCACCACCAGGGCCCCTTTCAGATTACTCAGTCATGCCTTTTTTTTTTGCAAAGGTAGAAAGCACTGTTTCTGACTCCATTTTATAAGAGTATTCTTCTCTTCACAGCACTTCAGGACACTTCCTTGAATCACAGTGAATCTCTACTGATAGATTTTGTTTGATTCTTCAGTGATTTTGAGTTTTGCTTGATTTTTGGTTGGTGGGTTTTTGGTTTGTGGGTTTTTTTCCAGTAAGAAGGCTTTATTTATTGATGACAAACGTGAAGAATATTGCGAAAGCTGCTTGTTTCTGTCATCAAGTTTAAGACGATCACAGTTCAGAATTCTTCCTTACGTGTTTTGAAGTTCCCTTCGCTATGAGGGGGCCCAGAACTCTGGCCCTGGTGATCTTTGATGGGAGAGGCAACCCCCAAGTGAGTTGTTAGATGAGTACGGTCAGCTGGGGGATTTGTTTAATTTGCATTATGGTATTCTTGAGGCATAGTTTTCAGGCAACAGACTATCCACGGCAGTGCTTGTAAAGGAAAGAACGTGTAGTGTGAGGACTCAGTGGGCCCATGGCTAGTGTTGAAGAAAAAACCACATTGGTCCACAGTGGCTGCCTGCTAAGTTTTAGTCCTTGTGAGTAAATCTCAGCTTCAACTTTCGTCACATGTTACTAAAACCACGCCTGCTCATGATGCTACTTCAAATTTCCTTTTTTAAAAATGGCATTTATTTTATCTTATTCCCAGAAGATCCTAATCTAGGCTTCCTCTGACAGTAGGAGTGGCTCATCTCGGGAGGTCTTCTCCATATATCTCAAGGAACGGCTTCCCTTTGAGATGGTCCAGCTCACCTCTTGCTTTCAAGGATTCCTGGCCTAGAGGAAAAATCACTTGTGTAAACGTCAAGCCTCCTATAAACCTCCTTAGGGGAATTTAAAGGCTGAGAGTTACAGAGAATTGTTTTGTGGAGCTTTATAAAATGAAAATGCAAGCGGGGGAGGGAAAGGTGAACAGAATCACATAAATAACGTGTGCTTAAGAGTCACATCCTTGGGGGGATTTCTAGGAACTAGTTCTGTTATTTCCCCCACCCCCCCGCCCTTTAGGATAGTTTCTAAAGGAATTTGGAGTCATCTGGATTGTAAAGGGGAAGTGTGTTAATAAGATTGCAAGCATCTGTCTTCCTCTAGTCTTTGTAGCATGCATACTCGTGTCCTATATATTGTAGAAATTCAAAGGACATGCCTAATAACTTCTAGGAAGTAATACAGTGTGGCATTTAGTGATGTGGAGGGCTAAGGTCATTAAAGACTTTAAATGAACTAGTATATGGCTGGCTCCCCAAGCACTGCTGCCTATTTAATAACGAGCTTCTAAAAGCATTTCTTAAGTTGCAGACCCGTAAGATTACAAATGTCACTCATGTTAGTATAATCCACATGCAAGTGATGAAGTCTTCTCTTTGATGTGCTAAATTGGAGGAGGACTAATGGAGCTATGAATATACAATAGAACATATTTAAGTAGTAGTCTTGCTTTAGGTAAAACACTTTCTTGAAACCAGAGGCATTTCAAACAATAAAGCCCAGCTCTAATGGGGATGCTGTGTGTGGATAGAAAGCTACTAAAAACACTCGGGTTTATTCTGATGTGAACAGCGATTATGTGTGGTTCTCCCCCCTCCACCCCAGCATTGCTTGGAGAAAAGAAAGATACATAAGCTTATTCACCTTTTATGTGGTGCATCTGTGATGCTATTAGTGAAATGTGTGCCCTTCTTTTGAAAGGACTGACTTCATATTAGCCACGTCATAGAGCAAGATGGTCCCAGCCCTACCAGCAAGCGCAATGGTACCAAGCCATGCTTGGCTCCTGTTATTTTTTAAAAATATGATTCCTATAAATGTCTCAATCATGCAAATTGTCACTCTTGCTAATGAAACAATTTTGTCAAAAAATGGTCTTCTGTGTTCAGTGTTTTTACTTCTCCAACTGTCTTATTAAATTTACACATGCCACAGGGCAGGGCAACGCCTACCAAAACCAGATCCTTTGCCACAAGAAACTATTTTTACTTCTACATAATTTATTAGGAAATTGTTTAGCAGGGCCTGTAGTGTCTTATACAAAATGAAACAATGCCACACACACACTGAAATGAAGCCTATGGAATTGTCATCCTTTTAATAGTAACTATTTACATTCATTCTTTTCTCTTTTTAATGCTGATATTTGAAACAACTAATCATCTAAAATGAAATCCTTAAATGGCTTTAAATGTCAATATAATAAAAGTCTAATGTGCACTACTATTTATATAAAATACATCTTAGGGCCAATAAATTAAATAACAAACAATGAATCTAGGAGCAGTATATCCAGAGCCTAGCGAAGAGTTTCCACATAAGCTAAATAATTGCATTTAACTTGAAAAGATGCCTTTCTGTTGGAAAGACACCTTCCCCGGGAACTGCATCCTGCCTGGGTGCTTGTGGGAGTGGGATGAGCTGAAGAGGCTTTTGGAGAACAGGACATTTACAAGTTGATGTAACTTGTCACTTTGTTACTAAGACTCGCCTATTGTCAGTCCAGCCAAGTCACAGAAATGCTTATTGCAGTTAAATAGCAATTTGTTTCCATGAAACTGCAATTAAAGTATTACTGAGCAGCCATTTTAGATTGGCAATGCTCTGAACGCATGTTAAACAGCCAGCTACTCCCACTTGCGGGGTCTGAGATCTGACTAAATGGAACGCATTCACCTGTGTTGGGCACCTAGTTAAAAGGCATTCCAAACCTCAAGGCAGCCCTGGGACACCTTTATGAACATGCTGAAAGCAGAGGCAAGTCGGGGCTGATATTTGGAAGGTGAGCTTGCAATTTACCTCAAGTGAATACTCTTTTTTTTTTTTTTTCCCCCAGTGGTACACGAAGTGCTTTAGGCTAGTAGGTCTGTGCGTGTTTCCTAGAGGGAATGTTTTCAAGTTCAGATTGATTCTGCTGAGAATGGACTGCAACTCTGAGGCCTCAAGCCAATAATGTAGTACAGGTCCTGACATGTTACAGCTGTGTAAACAGGGCCATTCTATCTCCTAAATCACAACTAATAAAGCATAGGGTGGAAATCAATTGATTCTGTTATAAGTTCTTTGAATGACGCTGGAAAGCTGTTTAATGATTCTCTGTTAAAACGCACAAGTCGGAGTTGAGCCACTGAAGTACTTCTTGGAATCTTCTCTCACCTCTGAAATGGGACAGGATAGCTCTTCCTGGGCATTTAGCATCAACCACCACCAGGTCTAACCCTGCTATGGAGAGGAACTGAACTGAATTCTTCCTGTGGATTTCAAGTTCCAGATCTGTTAAGAAGAGAAAGGTGAAGTGCAAAGGTTTTATTGAAAATGCAAAACATTGATGTAAGATCCTGAGAGAGCAACGGATTTCAGAGGTGGTGTTTTAAAATGCAATTAGCGCTGAATTCTAACCAGCTGGGGAAAAATCATTAGCTCATGAGAACAGGAGGGATCTCACCTTCCTTTGGCCTAGAAAGTTACTCCTACCTTGAATCAAAAGGTTGATGCCCTTAACTCTTAAAAATGTGACTCTCATACGCAGTGCATCTATTTGTATTTCGCCAGCGTTGAAGCCCACTGCCACTGAGTCGATTTTATACATGCATGTGTGTATTTTTTTCTCCCCATAGTAAGGGAGGGGGGAGAACATTGAAGACAATCTTCCTAAATTAATCTTTCCTTTTCAGTGAAATGAATGTTTTCAAGAACTGTAAAGAGACAAATCTGAGGACAATTTGCAAATGAAGATTAATTACGAAAACTGGAAAAGGGAATTGATTCCTTAGGCTGCAATTGTATAACTTCTTTATTTAAATAGGTTTGGTATGATGGATATTTCTTATCTTCTGCATATTCTTCTCAAAGAACATCATCACCAGTATTAAGGCAGCACCAACTCCTAGCTGACCCTTCAGATTTTCAGAGGCTATAAATCAGGAGATTTCCCATTTTCTATGAAGCCACTGGTGGATTTGAACTCCTTGCCTTTGGGTTAGCAGTGCTAACCCTCTAGCCTACCAGAGGTCCCACTAAGGCTCCACTTTAATTCAGTACCTGTTACCAATGACAGGATGATAA